CATGTTATTAAAAAATGTTGGGTATTCCCTCTCTTTATAGTATATGTTTTCTTAAGAGGTGAACAGATGGCCCTAGAGACAGATATATCTTCAAAGCTCTTTATTTTCAATAAAGAGGATATAGGTACAACTAGGAATGCAGTCACGCTTCAAATTAAAGTTCCATTTATAAATACTCAACAGAAGGAGAATATTAAGACATTCTTTAATAAAAACACTCTAATAGATCACTACGGACTACAGCAAACGCTTGTTCGAGGGTGCATATTGAGAAAGCTAATTAGCACCAATAACATTTACTTCTCATGTTTGCAGCATGCTTTACTATTTATTAATTCTTTCTAAAGCATTTATAAATGGAACTTTAGTATAATTGGCCAATTAAGGAAGGTGGTGCTGCTCTACATCACCCTTTGTGTGGGCTGAAAGGAAGAAGAGGTGTGTTCCCAACACCTGCGGTCCTTCCTCTTTACTCTTTGTCAGGCTTCGTCTTACAAGCGGTTACTACCCCGAGTAGACCTTCTGCCCTAAGATAAGCGTTCCCAGGCAGAGCTCTCAGGGTTAGTATTGTCTGCACAGCTGGGACTATAAGAGAGTGGAGCATCGAAGGTATTCTATTTATTTTCCCTAGATCAGGGGACACGGAAGCCCAGTTTGTATCTTTTGGACACCCAAGAGTAGTAGTGATGAAATGCTGTAACACAATGCCTGACTGCTCACCTATCACATATTCATTTAGATCATTTTCAGGGGTCTTATACCCTGAAATAATGCTTTAGAATTAATTTGGGTTTATTTGAGCCAGCAAGCAAAGAGAAGCATCAAATTCCACCCAGTTTCTGCTTGAAGCAAAGAAGAGGTTGGCCGGATATTTTGACTTTCAAAATGACACGTTCTGAATTAAATAAATGCGAAATTTCTAAGGCATTTCACCCAGGGACACAAGTGTGATGCGTTACTGCACGCTGCATGCATGCCGCAGACTCCCCTTCTTGGATGCATGGCTCCAGCCTGGCCAGCTAAGAGGCTGCATCCAGCCTCCTGGTAAAACTGTGCTATGAGAGCAAGTTCTGCTGGGACTGCAACAAGGTGCCAAATTCCCCTTTGATGCTGAGAAAAATTTCCTTGAGGTGGGTTGTTCAAAGAAGAGACAAAGGCCGAATCTGACCCAAATGTGGAGTGCTGGCCATGAAGACTTTAAACTTAAAGCATTTGAAAATTAATCGGAGTGAAGGGCTGTACCTGTGCAGTTACCCGGTCAGCTGCTCTTTTCCTTCTTGTTTTTTCTCTCTGCCTGCACCTCAGCAGTGTGAGGCATCAGCCCTTTGCCTTGCACAGCTCTCCAGAAATCCTGCAATTCTCTGGTCAAACGTGAGTTGGGGCTCGCAAGGCTTCCCCTTTGACAGCAGCTGGCTAAAATGAGTGAAAAATTACTTTAAAACAAAGGACCTTTTAACCTTGATACTTTGAAGTATTGAATAGATTGAAGAAGGTGTAAAATCATCATGTCTACAAGTTAGAGCCCACGTGTGCGCATTTTGTTTGAGTCCTTGGCCTCTTTCTTTCATAGCTCAGGCGTCTCCGGATCGTTGCCCGTCTCTGAGATGGGAGGAACAGCCTGCGATGGTCTCAGTGCCCTCTGCATCTCCCCTTCCTCAGCCTTGCCTCTAGCTCCTTTACGTTGCTTTTTTTTCAATTCTTCCCTCCAGGCTTGACAAAAAAATTATGTCACTTTGGAAGGGACTAAAGAGTCTCATCCATCTCTTCTTGGGTCTCTGAAATCTGGCAGTTGTGTTTGAGGGAACGCTCTTTATCTGAGCAACAGCGTTAACTTTTCTGCTTGTATTTGCAACAACTTTTTGGTGGCTTCCATTGAGTTAGTGCCCAAGTGCACAGCAGTGCAAAACAGCTGAAGGACTCGCACACAATGGTCGTACTTTCCTAGATTTTAGTGTTTAGTATTCAGTTATTGGAATAATTACAGATTTAGTACTTCCAATGACATATAATGCCTGCAGAGACATAGGAGGTTACTCACTAATAGTTGTTTCCCAGTAAATAAACTTAGTTCATAGCCACAGAGATAAGATAATGTCATATTTTTCTCCTCTTTCCACTCACAAGATCACCCAGGCTCTGCCATACTAATGTGCCACCTGAAGGGCCTCAGACTTTCATTTTCTGGTGAGAGGGATAAAAATGTAAATTCTCTCTGTTCTTTCATTACAGCATTTCAGCTTAATGCAGCATTTTCGTTACTTTCTTTTGGCCCTGTCCCGGTTCTGTCCACCTGACTGTGAGATACAGGAGCAGTGCATGTGGTGTGGGTTTGTTTTTTTAAAGAAAAATTTTATTCTAGCATTTCCCAGCTAAGATGGTCTTGATGGGAGGGACAAATCTGTCATTGCTTGTTGGCATATTTGCACTGGAGTATAGAACCTGCCACTGTACTGAGTTTTTAGAGCCAGCTTGGGAACTGTGTCCCATTTGTAGAGGTAAATTGCAGGAGATTTATTAAATTGAAGAAGATGCAAGGAAGTTCTCCTCAGCCTGAGTGTCGTATCCCATACCAGTGCTCTCTGGTATAGAGGAAAAGTTTCAAAAATGGACAGGTCTCCTTTCACCCCAACATTTACAATTAACTGCAGATCCTTTCGATTTCTTTCCACTGCTCCTATATACGATTTCCAGTGTGGACAAACTAAACCTTGCTCTAGGGCTTACTTTCCTTCTTAACACATTTTGCATGTAAATCTGTGGCAGCAATCAAGCTTGTTCGCTAGCAATCGTGCGGACGCTGAATGCATTTCCAGAAGGATTTCACACTGACTCTCTCTTCTGTCCCCTACCTCAGGCTCCTAGGCTGGATGAGAACACAGTACACAACACCTCTTTTTCAAATGTTGCTTCCCATAACGAGCTGGGAGTTGGGAGGTGGGGCATGCCCTGTTTTGCCCTCCGTGCGCGTGTTTGGTTTTGGTCAAAAAGAAAGAAAAAAAAAATAAGCAAGGGGTTGGGAGGGGAGAATTCAGGACTGTTGGAAACACCTGGTTGGCAAAAAGGAGATAGTAAATTGAAAGTTTTTATCACGTGGCCTGGAATTCAGGTGAGTGTCAGAGAGGACTTTCCCAACATGGCGGGAACATCTCCTAGTGGGAGTTTAACTCCTAAGTAGGTGTTAAATTGCATCTCTGGGCACCTAAATGCTTTCCACCTTTGCCGAAGATAATCTATAAGCTCCTCTTGTAATTTATGGTTTAGAAGCTTTTTGTGAAGACTCATAAAAGGAAGATTTTAATTAAATGGACTTCCCATATGCGCGATGCATCTGTGTTGCAGTCAGCTACTTCAGTTATAGGAGAGGCGCATAAAATAACCTTTCGAAAGTGGAGCAGACGGTTCTCCCCTTAAAATTACTTGGCATAAACCTTGATGGGTGCCCCAGATCTCAGTGGTACAAATTTAGATTTCATCTAGTGTAGAAGCATACCGAGACTGAGTTTTCTGGGGTTTGGCTGCTGCACTCGGATGGGCAGACTGCAGCTGGGTACAAGGGAAAATGTAAATGGGGAGTTTCTGTACAGAATGAGTTCCCCAGGTTTTCCTGGGGCATATTTAGATTTGATCTGGCAGAAAAACATGTTGAGACTGGGCTGCTGGGTTTCACCTACTAACTGTGGTGGACAAACTGCAATGAAAGACAAAGAAAACCGTCAGTGAGTAGTTCCCGCAGGCGATGCACAGGGAACAGGAACTGCCATTGTGTTCAGCTGTAGCTTACTCTTTCCTTGGAAGCATTTCCTCTGATGCAGTTCACATATTTTTTTTGCTAGTTCTGCTACTCAAATTTATTTAGTAATGTATGTCCAGGAGACTACTTAGAGACTGATCTTTTTGTTTTATTCTTCTGTAACAGTAGAAGAGAGCATACTGAGACAGTTTATGGTCTGAATTTGTTTTCATGTTCTCTGGTATATAAGCTGACATTAACTCTCTGACCTATATAAATCTTAAATATACACACACATAGACACATATACACACACACATGTACTCTTTTTCCAAGCATCTACAGGGTTTTACCTTTTCATGTTTGTGGCCTGAAGGCACAGGAGTGCTTTCGTGGCTCTTACTGTAGGTGAAACATCGATAGATTTGCTGTATTGACATGTTGCACAGCGGTTGTTGAACGACTAGGTTCTTAACCAAGTCCTCTCCTCTAAGATGCTTCAGTCTTCAAGACAATTTTCTGTTGAGAACAGATAGAAAGCAGCTGCCTCTGGGGCTTACTCATTTACAGTTGCCTGGAGGAGGG